AAAAAAAAAAAAAAAGTCCTGCCTCAGTGTTGCAGCAGCCTCGGGGCTTCTGGGGGCTTGTGGGAGAGCCCCCCATGCAGCGCGGGGCAGTAGGAATGGCCCCCCACCTATCAGGAGATCATGAGTTCGGGCTTTTTTTCTTTTTTTTTAAAGGGCCAGGAGCTGGGAGAGCAGACAGGGCAGCCATGGGGGTGGCTGAGAAAGTGGATGGGGGCTGGAGGGCTTGTGGCAGAGTCCCCCATGCAGCATGGGGCAGCCGGGGGAAGCAGAGATTGCCCCCCTCCCTGGCAGCAGCCAGTGAGTGGGGACTTTTTTTTCAAAGAGCCAGGAGCTGGGAGAGCGAGCAGGTGGTGAAGCCAATTTGGAGATTCAGCTGGTTTGGCTGTGGCTGAATCTCCAAATCAAATTCAGACAAATCAATTTGGGACAGTGATTCAAATCACTGAATTGAATCACTGTCCCCTGAATCGACCGAATTCAAAGCGAATACTAGCTGCTTTGCACAGGCTTATTGATTAGGAAGGAGAAACATAGCACCTGTCCACTCTTGTCATTCAGGAAGCCCTGACCAAGTGGTGACTAAGGTGGCGACCTTCAAAAGCACATGAACGATATAGAAACAGAAGTCTTCTTGACTTCCAGTGGCACTGCTGCTCCGTAGTCAAGAAGCCACTTTTGAAAATGACACTGCAAATTATTACCAGCCTTGGGAGTGCGCATCTCAAAAGAAATACGGAAAAAAGGTTAAGTCTTTGCAGTCCAATATACCATCTCTGTGTACTTTTTTCCTGCTCAAGAGGGACATGAGTACATCACATGAGGACACAAACTTTGTTGGTCTAGACCATGTTTACCAGCAGGATGAGTTAATACATTAATTGATTTCTTTACAAACCGAAACAAATGCTGGAAAGTGTTATTCATGTATTGTCCCAGCCCATAAAATAATTCACTTGGAAGAGGCAATTGAATTTCCCATCTTTTGCTCTGTTCTAGGTGAAGATATCCACATAAGTATGTATGGAGCTGCCACAGATGTCAACATCAGGCTATGCAAGAACTCCTTGACAATCGAGAAGGCATATATTACCCTGGCAAACCAGAGATCGGTGGTCATACATAATCGAAGTGATATCATAGCACACTTCCAGTGGAAGGTTTCTGCAACTCAGGAAGAGGAGGATCAACAAAAACAAAGGTTAATTTGAAGGATAGATAGATTCCAATATGGTATTCTCTTATTGGTCAACTCCATGTATGGTTAAAGCTTTACAACCATTGCACAGATAACGTCAAATTGTATTTTACTCTAACCGCCCTGGCTGGGGAAAAATCACTAGGATCTAAGGCAGTGGGTCACAACATTATTCATACCAGCTCTACTCCCAGTACAACTGTAAATAGTATTGTTCAAAGAGAAGCATAGTTGTGGTGCCCTGACACCTGTGGGTCATGACCCCAAGCAAGGACATCCGTGCTCTAAGTGTTTAATTAACCTACACTGTTTGTTCAGTATGTGAATAGTGTGAAAATATTGTAATCATGATAATAGCACATTTTACAGTTTTCTGGAGGAAAAAATCAGTTACATCAAAAAAACTATTGCTTTAGTAAGAAAACTGGTATTACAAGATAATAGAGTGACTTAATCCTGTGCTCAGTGGCGGCATGCCCAACCGCTGCAGTGGCTTCTGTGAGATGATAAAGTAGCAAGGCCCAAATGAGAGTGATTCTGAGACTGCTCGAACTTGTACAGAGGTTCACCTCTGACACTGCCAGCCACAGAATTAGCAAAGAGCATTTTTTTTATTCATTATGCTGCTGAATAGAATGTCTTATAACCTATGGAGGAGTGAGTGGTCAAGGTGAAAACACTTTAAAAAAAGACAATTTCTAGGTGTTGTTTAATAGTGAAGAGGAGCTGAGATTGACTGAGGAGAGGTCAACTCTACCTCAGGGTTTGCCAGAGCAGCATAGGATCCCTTACCAATGTAATGGTTTGTTTACACTTACGGATCAGTCACAGGACTATCTTCAAATCTATAACGACTAGCCATCTACAGAAAGAACCCATAGGCTTCACCCCTGGTGGCTGTCCAGTCTGACCTTTGACCTTTTGCTGAGTATCCAAGGTTTGAGGTTTAACATGCTGCCGCCCATCCCTCCTTTAAGGGGGTTTGGAACTCACCCAGACACTGCAGGCTGCAAATATAGCAGGTTGCCCAGCAGCAAATTTCTGCTTCTGACTTCTGATCCTTCTGCATCCCTACTTTGTCTCTTCTGCACATTGTTAAAGCCAATCACAAGAAGAGAAATAAGTAGTGTGCAGACTGATTCCTAGAAGAGCTCTGCTTGAATAACAGGAAGTAGAATGCAGTTGACTGCACTGTAAGATTTTAATGGGGTAGGAAACTCATGTGGCTTGGATTAGTTGAGGGCAATCCTCAGGCTCAGTCCTAAATGCCAGTGAGGATGCACCGTATGATGCAACAGGGGAATTCATAAAAGCAGAGATGGAGAAGTTATATTGGCCCTGGTTGCACCCTCCACAAATAGCATCTATCTGTTTGTTATTGAAATAGTGCATAGTTTTTGGCTGTTACTAGTTTCAGCTTTGTCCTTGACATCCATCATGACTTATGATAGGAAGAATTCCTTTCTGTCCCTGTTGGCTTTTTCAAAGACTATACCCATTCCCTGTGGGTGTGATCTATCTGTTGGAATAAATAGGTTTGTCTCATCATGACTGGATGGCAGTAATTCACTCTGCAAACAGCAAGAAAATCTGCTCAAGACCAGTTCAGACCGTCAGCCTGTATAAAATGTGAGATGCCAAGGACTCATCACTCTAATGTAGCATGCTCACCAGAGGTTCCCCATTACTTCCTGGGGCACTTTAAAATTATTAAAGCCCTTGGTGGTCTCTGCCTAAACTATCTCCAAACAGTCTCTTAACACGTGACTAAGCAAGGCACCTGTGGACATTTGAGATTCAGGAATTAGATGCAACTGGGGTGAAAAAGTCAGGAGCCAGGAGTTAGGCATTCTTGCCTGTGGAGATTGGAACATGCCTTCCTTTGTATGTGCCTTTTCAAGAGCCCATCATTTTGCAGTGGCTTCTTCCCAGGAGCCCATAAGAGAAAATGAATGCAGGTGAAGAAGGCAGACAAAAAGAGGGAAAGAAGGGGAAATTGGCAGAGAAAAGAGTTTAGCCAGTAGCAGACTGTTGCAGCAATGCTTACTACATTCTAAATAAAATACGTCTTAAGACTAATGTCTGATGAGGCCCATAGTGATGTACAAAGGACCTACCCACAGCAGTATCTGCTGTTGAGTCACTTTCTGAGAACTGAAAAGGAGGCGTATTTCCAAGCAGCCACACCTCTGCAGGTAACTGAGCCAGCTGGAAGTAGTTAGACCACTGACGGTTCAGGTTGTTAGGGTCAATCTTTCTGCTGCCCTATCTCTGGACAGCCTAGAACCTGCATCTCGGGCAAATGACCTAACCAGTAGGCTACTGGGCTACAGCATAGGCTTCACTCCTTTGCTGTTGGCAGGTATGCATGCAGGGTGATTCTGTTTCACTGCAAAGTGAAATAGGATCCCAAACTGCGTGTAAGGTCATTTAGGTGTGTACAGTGAAATAGGACTCTGCCATAAATTTACTGCATAGAAGTGGTGTATAAATACCATCAGTTGGTGGTTTAATGTGTTGAGATGTCTGTCCATTTCCACCAAAAATGTTAGGAAGTACAAAGCAAAAATTGATATAATATCTCTACCAATGGAGCATCTTTTTTGCCTGCTCTAGCCATTCCTCCTCTCCTGGCCATTCTTGCTTTGCAGTCTGCTCACACTCCACATGAAGATTAATGTAAGGGTTTGGTATGAAACGCCACCTTCTTGAATATTCTTCTGTTATAACTGAAATTTATATGGGCCAAAGAACCACCAGGGCTAGCATGTGGAAGAATGTAGTTCAGCCTTCAAAAGTGACCTGGGATGTTTATGCTGCT